TTATCTATAGATATGCAGTATAGAAGTTTGTAGGAATTTGAAAATCGAAAACAAATCACTTTTATTTTCATAGACTATTATTAATAGTGCCCCCAGCTTGTTGCCCTGTCACAGTCACAGTCAAGTTTCTAGTTCCTATTTATAATTTCTGCTCTCATGTGAAACCAAGAGTTAGCAGGAGCTAACGCTTCACACAATGCGCACACCTTTCGGTTTCTTTGCTGCCTAATGTTTATATACATATGAACTATAAAGATTGATATCATTGCGTGATGCCAGATAACAAGCGGCCGGGCCTGCTTTGACGTCAGCAGTCCCCCCAAAAGTTATGAAACTGAAAGTGTAAGCATGATCGACTTGGACATACCCCTCAACTCGGTGGAAAGCGGGTGTTTAGGTATTCTTGTTTGCATACGTACCCAAAAGTCTTTACGATCTATGACGATCGATCTATAGTTATATTTATCAATACAATATATGTAAACTCAGATATTCACTTAAAAGTATAAATATGTTTAGTGTACAATAAACTAGCATATATATACAAAATTTGAAATAGGTAGGTCTTGTATCTCCCAAGATCAGACAGTGAGATGAATTGATAAAAGATCATAGCTAGACCAACTATGCTTTTCATGTTGACTAAGCATTTACCATAAATATGAAATCATCCACTATTTATTTTACCGCTTACTTCTTACCCAAACGATCTACCCCTTTCACCCATTTTAAAGAGCTACAGGGTATGAAAAAGAAACTCATAAAACTGGTTACATAAGCAGACATATTCTAATTGTAAGATTTTTTATCTTTTTCATTTTTAAATTTTGTTCATAAAACATAAAACTTTTGTCGCTAATTTTCATTAAAAAAAAAAGAAAAAAAAATGTCGGCTATTGTATGGAGCCGTTTTCAAGGCCAGACTTAGTCTGTTTTCGGACTCATATTATTTGCATACTCGAAGAACAAGATCGGAGCATCGACTTACATAGTATTCAAGCACATTATAGTACATATTTAGCTACCAGTATGCAGATCAGCCGATGAAGCAATCAGCATCAGCTTAGAACATATTAGCAAGCAGCCCCAACTCTCGTGATCTTCTAAGCTGAAGTCTCTATCATTATCTGAGTAGCTCTCGGCTGCTTTTGCTGCTGCTGCTGCTGCTGCAAATGCAAAGTGCATAAATCAAGCGTCTATAAATAAGTCGAAACTTAATGGTCTAAAACCTTTGGCAAAGTCCGAGTTGATAACGCGCGCCATAATCACTCACACACACAACTATTTATAGAGGCAGCTCTGAAATATAGCTGGCAGGTTCAAAGTGTCCTTGCTCATAATTCCATCCAGGCGGGTAGACAGCCTAACGCCAGGCAATATGCATAGGCATGCGTAACTACACTGAGCGAAAATTGAGCTTAAAATTTAACGAAAATTGGGAAATAGAATATTTTATTGTATTAAATTTATTTTGATCAGTTACAGTTTTTTATTTATATTTATATTATATGTTAATTTTTATTTGATTTTAATTTAATTTTTTTTTGTTGTTGCTTTTCATTAATTTTCATTATTTTTTATGTGTATATGTTCATGTATTTTGTATGCTTAATTATTTTATTTTGTTTATTATTTATAGAAAAGATTTTATATTGTATTTTGTGCATAATCATAATTATATAARTTATATTTACTTTTGTCTACACTATTGCTATGGTCACTCTAGTTTCGCGCAGTGCATTGCATATTTATTTATCGCCTGCTACTTGTAATTGTCACAAATTGTATGACATTTTTATGCCATTTGCCGGTCTCTGGCTGTGCATAATTGATTTACGCGCTGTTTCTTATATTTGCAAGGCTGGGCAATAAATTTCTGGTTTCATACGTATGTGCAGTAGCCAACAATGCCATAGAAGGAGAGGAAGGCGCAGAGAAGGTGCCTTATCGTTTTCGCTTTCTGCTCCAAGTGAAGACATTAATCAGCTTCCAGTTTCCACCTTCCAGCTTCCAGCTTCTAGGTTTCAGCTTCAAACTGCAGCGAGAGTGAACGCCCACACTTGAGCCACGGCCCATGGGATGCGCTCTAATGGCGTGTAGATAAATTTCTGTTGCAATTGCGAATATAAATCAAATTATTCACTTCAATATTGTAGAGAAGCAAATGTAGTAGCTATTGCTGGCGGCCCTCATCTTTCAATATCGCGCGATGGCAATCGGCGAAGAGCGTTGAAACTGCAATTAATGCAATCTGCCAGTTTTTATCTGAGAACATTAATTAGTTTTTTTTTTTTTTTTTTTTTTTTTTTTTAAAGTGACTACGAGTGCAGCTTATGGCATTGCAGACAACTTAATTGCGTTAATTACGTATTAACTTAGTTGCAATAAAGTTGAAATGTTGTGATAAGTGATCTGCTGTTAGCTTAAATTGAAAAATATTGAACTAATGCAGCTGCACTGACTCACAAGTTCTATTCTTTATTGTAACATATCGATACTTCAGTTCATTTGGGCAGTTGATTTAATTTCAAATTTTATGCTAGTTCATAAATTCCACACATATTCTTTATTGAAACCTATCGAACTAGTTCATATGTTGCTTAGCATATTTACCTTAATTACATATTCGCTGCTAGTTCTCAGTTTCAATATTGCAGCTTATCGAATTGGTTCGTTTAGCGAACCAGCACAACTCTGATGCATTTCGCATTCGGTATTCGCATTCGCATTCGCTTTCGCATTACTCGCCTTAATTACATATTTAAAGCTGACATTTATTATAATTAAAGTTACAACGACTGGCTGTTGTCTGTTCTCAGTTACCAAGAGGCCCTCTCACTCTCTATGGCTCTATAGCTGTGCTAATTTGCTTGCAACTTGATTAATAAGCCGCCATAAGTTCGTATCTCTGAAAAAGAAGCAACACAAAAATAACAGCAGCCACTAACTCGCAACCATTCATCTTCTAGACAAAAGACCAACAGCAGCAACAGCAGCAGCAGCAGAAGCAGCAGCAGCAGCAAAGACTGCTCGCTCTGTTCTACGTTGAGGTGCTGAAAATGAAATTCGCTTTGGCTGCAGTGCGCGGCCTTGAGCATGAATTATGTGTGCAATTACTCTTCAGGTTGTCATGAGTAGCTACAACAGCAGCAGCAACAGCAACTTTAACCACTTCTGCTCCTCCTGCTAAGTTTGTGCTCCTCCCGCTGTGCTGCATTTGGTGCTTCTGTTCTAATGCCCGTTAAAAGTGCAAGTTGCCAGTTACGATTATGAAACTGTGCCACTTGTTGCATGTGCCTCTGCTGTCATCGTTGCTGTCTTCTTTCTCCAACTATGTTGCCATACCTGTCATACCAGCCATACCTGTGTGGCTTTGCTTACGCAGCTAAACTGGAGTTATGTACGTATCATGCGTGCTGCAGCTGAAGCTGTTATGGRCATATGTACATACATACATATACAAGCAGTTACATGGCCAAACGCGTGTAACGCTTAGGAAGTACAGACAGAACGCAGCGCAGAAGCAATTAAATTAACATTTCGAGAATAAAAAAAGAAAATCATCAAAACTAAGGCAAGTAGAATGATGGAAAGTGTAGCTGTAGCACGCATGAAAAGTCTGGCACAGATCTGCAGCTTTAATTTGTTAGCTGTTGCTGCTGAGTCAGCGCATTCGACTTTTCACATATCACACATAGCTGAAGGCGCGATGGCTATCGCCAGCACAAGAGGTTGCAACCGGGGCAAGCAGCAACTGCAACGCTGTTCGATGATATCAAGCAGCATGCGCTGACAGCTAAGATCCCAGAGAGTTGTGGCAACACGCTGACTTGCAACATGACTGCAAAACAAGCTTGTAATTAAGTGTCAGCACTGCTAACTTCATAAACCAGAGCTAACAACACACTCGACACTCGAGAGGCGACCCATTAAATTTATGCTAGACGTCTTGCGCGTTCCATGCCTATACTTTCTAAGCTTTTGCAGTTTTTTGACGTATTTTAATCAATTGCTAGACGTTAGTAACGCATGAGACGCGTAGCCAGCGATGCCCTGGGCTCACGTCAAGGTCGGGCTCTGTGCCTGGCCAGGCTAATTAATTAACAATTTTCATCAATTAGCATATGTAGCGGCTCACATCTAAGCCACGATTCAGCCCCTGTGCCACGTCATCGAGCATCGAGCGAGTGAGCGCAATTAGACAATTGTTTTAAACACATTTAGTTAATGTGCCCAGACAAATTGTGCTTTAAATTATAACGAGATGGCTTTTAAAGGTGGCTTATTTATAGAAACGAGATTTCCCTTGGCTCAAGGCTAAGTGGCTGGCTAATAAGTTGTTTTCTATACGCGGAAATTGCGAACAGCTCAAAGCATTGCCCCAAAAATACCTTTTGGTTAAATTAACGCCCCAAAAGCAATTCTGTTTTCCCACCAAAGCAATTCCAACAACTCATGCCAGCCACAAAGTGCTACTGTTTGCGCATACCCTGTGCGTATAGGGCTGTAAGACGGGTATGTGCGGCTAATTAGAATTTTTGGTTTTTGTGTATGTAGAGCAAAAACTTTATTCAAATTTAGCCAAGATTTTTAGATTAAAAATGTTTCACATTTTATACGCTACTTGCTGTTTTTGTGTTTTACAACACTGATTTATATACTTCTTATTTTTGTTGTTATTAGAAGTAATAATATAATACCTAAGTATTTTTCAAAACCTTTTGCTATAAAAAATGTTTTTAGCAAACACTGTGCAAAGATAACAGCATAATCATGTTTTACAACACTACTGTAGTACACTATTGGTAGCATAGTATAACAATTGAATAGAAAACTGTTTTTCAAAAACCTTACAAATAATAATTATAATGCTAATACAATAGATTAAAACATCCCTTCACAACACTGCTCGTATATAAACTCTATAATTGTACAACACTTGTAGCACTAACTTAATATATCGTTTTACCTGTATTCATGTTTTCCAGCGCATCTGCCTCATAGACCCCTTTGCAGAAGATGTTCAAAATTTTGATTGTAATTGGGCTTGGGAATCGAATCGAACGTGAACTTAGCCTACCTGACTCTGAAGGCGTAAACAAACCCATTTCGTGGCACCAGAAGCGCTCGGAAGTGCTCGCTTGCAATGCGTCTTGCATGCCAAAGAGTCTTAATTCCGTTCAGATTGTGAAATTGCCAGCCAGGCAGCCAGCATCAAGGTCGCTCAACTGCGTTGACAACAAACTGCGGCCAGATCAGCTCTGACCTTTACTTTGGTAACTCTTTCTGTTTAATATACTATGTATACGACAATGCTGATGGTGTCGTTGACACTTTGTATTCGTATTTCAGTTTTTGAATGTTTTAGTTATAATTTCTGTTACGTCATTTGTGAATCATTTGCTGTCTCTTGTTGTTTTTTTCCAGTGTAATCAGCATTTCCGTTTCGCTGAAGGACTTAATTATGATCGATGAATTTAAGGCTAGGCGTGAACTAAATCAGAAGGGACAGGCGTGTCAATATAGGCAGAAAGAATCTTATATCGTGGCCGACATGACGTATGCGCAATCTCTGTGCGTGCAGGCGTATACGTAATTTGCTTATCAATCATACGCAATGCTCGCTGCGGCCCACGCGGCGCACTTGAATAAGCCAAAGCGTGAAGAATTCTTTTTGAATTCACCTTCTTTTTTTCTATTTTTTTTTTTTTGTGTGTCAGCGCCGCACGAATTATGAACTCCAAAAAATCGCAAGCAAATAAAATTGAGATGAAAAAAAAAATAAAATAAAAATAAATAAAAAGATGCGCAACTCCATTGATCATTTAAGAGCAAAGAGCATGTTCTAGTGCCATGCGGAAATTGTTTTTAGTTGTAGCTGAAAAACAGCAGACAACAAATTCATTATTTTTATTTATTATTCATCTTCTTTTACTTATTTTTCTGATTATTTATTATTATTATTATTGCTTGGCGTTGCTGCAAATAATTAAACTTAAATTTTTATTGTTGCTTCGGCAGCCAAATCGATTGACTTCTGCTCATTAACGTATTTCCAGTGAAGATAGAAATTACTATTGAAACAATACTTGAAAAAAAAAAGAAACAAATTTAATTAATTTGATAATACTGATTATATCGTTTAATACAACAGTTTATTATAGTCTATAGATTTCTAGTGAATATGCGCGTCTTAAAAAGAAAGAAGGAAAAGAATAGAAGTATTTTTTATTTTAAATATTTCTTAAACCCATTCCTAAATGCTGCCTAATCCTTTAAGCTTTGAGAATTTCTGTCTTCAGTTGTAAACTCACAAAACCATTTAAAGCTGTGCTCCACACTCTAAACAATGTGTCACAATCCCAACCACTTGATATCAAATTTGTTATCGCATTTGGCTTCCACTTGATTGGCGTTTACTGTAATTATATACCCCACTAAAAGTAATAGCCCTCAGCCAATCATTTAGCCTAGCCAATAGCTGTTAATGCTCCACTAAGCTGTCATACTTAGCCCTCGAGCTTAACAGCTTTAACAGCTTGCTAGGGTATTAGTTGGCTTATTTGTTATTCTTATCTGGACTTGAGTGATAGCCAAAACGCCTCTTGTTGACATTTTTCTGAAACTTGTATTTGGGTTTCGGGTCTTTGGTTTTTTGGCTTTTCGCTTTTTGTTTTCGTTTTTCATTTGCGTCGATTTCCCAAGCAGTTTTTTGGCTTGTAATTTTATGAAATCTTTTTATTTTTAACTTTTTTTTTATTTCTATTTAACGTGGTTTGTTTTTGACTGTCGCAAATTTTATGCTATATTGCTGTCTCATGCGCTGTCTCTATTGCGCTCTCTCTCTCTCTCTCTCTCCGTCTCTCTCTATTGCTCTTGTCTACATGTTTATCGAGCTGCTTGTGTAGCAAGGTCGTTCGTTGTACCCAACTTCTTGTTGTTGTTATTATTATTGTTGTTGTTGCTGTTGTTGTTTTGGGACTGCCAAAGCAATTTGTAATGATTATTAAAACAACGGGGCCCCACTTAGCATGGCCCGAATCTTATGGCCGTATAATACCCATGCAAAACGAGCCGCAAAGCAAAAGATTTTGTTCACATTATTTTTTCAGTGTTAACCATTCACCTAAACTGTTGTTGTTACCATTTTTTAATTGAAAAGCCAAAAACAAAACAAGTTAATAATAATAACACAGCAGCAGCAGCAGCAGCAACAGCAACAGCAACAGTTAATATTATATTGGCTTACAACATGAGCAGTTCAACAAACGCCCTAGCCAAAGCCCGTTACTCCACAAACCCCCCTCGCCTGACTATTTGTTTATTATTCTTAAGCAATTATTACCACATAGCTCAGATATATATGTATATATGTATATAGATGTTTTCCTATGATTGAATATCCATGAACATTGATTATGACAGCCGATCACTTGAAACAAAAATTTCGAAAAGTTCTATTTAAAGCAACAGGTAACAGCATTCCAAAGCCATTTGCTCACACACACAATGACAGTTACAAAAGCGGATCTACATAGAGATAGCTATATCTTATATATATATATATATATATATATAAGAAATTTCTATCTGAGTGTGTGAACTACATCTCGCGAGACGAATTAGCATTTACTTCTATAGAAGCTGCTAAGTAACTAGAACTTTTGTTGATTTATAACATTTTATTCAATTTGTCTGCCAAATATATGTGTTAAGTTCAAGCTCAGAAATATGCTAAATATATGCGCCAGCTGAAAAGAAACTAGATTTCGGGAGAACTAGTCTGAGCACAATGGGATAAACTGGGTGACTAGCGTGATGCTCTAGACGTACTGGAATACCAAAATTCAATACTATCACAAAGATTTCAAGCAAACTCCATTCAAAACATTCTCAATTACAGGGTATAGAACAGGTAATCTGAATCAAAAACTATAATAGCCATAGAAATGTTATATACTTATCATATTCTTGCCATTTCTGTTGCTATTCCCATTGAATTGCAAATTGATATTATCTTCTGCTTTTTTTTATTATTATAAACATAACGTTTTTATTTTTTATTTGCTTGAATCGATAAAAAGAAGAAGACCGAGACGAAGAAGAGGAAGATCTTAATTCATTTTAATATTGCTGCAGTCAAATGAAAGAGAATTTTATGCTTATATAATTTGCCAACGCGCTCAACTTTAAAGGCGAGATCTTGCGACACTCTTGCATTTTAATTTCTTTCGGGCTACCTGAACTGGAAATTAGAAAAATTGCCCACAATTGTGGCAATTGCCACACCCACTGACCAAATGAATCATGCATTCAATTTAAGCATAAGTAAAACGTTTTTTTTTTTCTTCCTCGTCTCTTTTAGTTTTTTGCATAGTTGAGCAAATAAATTGCATTTAGCTCTATGCCATATAAGACAATTTGCCATAAGCGTACGAAAAGCGAGCTGAATTATGTCGCTCGTTGAGTTAATCTAAAAAAAAAAAAAAAAAAAAAAAAAAAAAAAAAAAAAAAAAAAAAAAAAA